TATCAAAGTAACAGTCTGGGACTCTCTATACTCTTTATACTAAATATTTAGTTTCTTAAATAAATATTTAGCTCCAAATTAAATCTTTATTTAACAAACTAAATATTTAGCTAGCACCAAGCTATTTAGCCAATTCCCTCCAAGGGAGTTCCCTAATTCCCTTGCCAAAAAGCGGAAATGAGCTAACAAAATAAAAGCCTGGGACTCTCTATACTCTTCAAACTAAATATTTAGTTTCTTAAATAAATATTTAGCTCCAAATTATCTTAATCTTTTAATCTTTATTTAACAACGTAAATATTTGGCTAGCACCAAGCTATTTAGCCAATATGCTAATTCCCTTGCCAAAAAGCGGAAATGAGCTAACAAAATAAAAGCCTGGGACTCTCTATACTCTTTATGCTAAATATTTAGTTTGTTAAATAAATATTTAGTTTGGAGATAAATATTTATCTTACAAACTTAATATTTAATCCACAAACTAAATATTTAGTTTTTTAAATAAATATTTAGCTCCAAATTAAATCTTTATTTTACAAACTAAATATTTAGCTAGCACCAAGCTATTTAGCCAATAAATATTTTATTTGGAGCTAAATATTTAATTTTAGGGATTTACTTTTAATACTCGGCTCTTTTTATGTACATAGATAATTTATCCAGTGAGAACACAGGATAATAAATCCTTTATTCTCAGTTTAGTTTAGAACAATATTAATGTATTTTATTTGACATTTTACAGCATAGTATGATGGAAAAGACGGGGAAAATGTATGAAAATGTTGTTTTTGTGTTGCTTTTTTCATGAATAAATGTGGCGATGGTTTCCTCCTCCCGCCTCATGAATGCCTCCTTAGACCCGATCCTGATCCGGTCTCCATATCAGTTTACTCCTTTGTGTTTAGTTCCTTGAATTTATTCATGTTCTCTGCTTTTTCTGCCTTGTTTTTCGTTCTCTTGATTTTTTCTCCTGGTTAGTGATTTCTTTGTTTAGTTTGGTGATCGCTAGTCTCCCTCCTTCAGCTTCCTTTCTCCATCAGCTGTTCCACATCTCCTCTAATTAGCTTATCTTATGATCTGCCCGGTCTTCTAATTATCACTCATCTCATCCAGCTGCGTCTGTTCCTTTTTATTTGGTTCAGCCCAGCTATCAGGGCCAGATTATTGTTTGCTGTCTGTTTTTTTTATGCCTGTTAGTTTCTCAGTTCATTTAGTTTATTCCATGGTTAGCGTCCTGGTTCCTGGCAGCTAGCGGATTGAGAGGGCTTTTGTGTTCATCTTGTCTCCTGATCATTTCCTGGTCCTTCTCCGTTTAGCCCTCAGGGGTTTGGCTCAGAAAGCAGAGAAGGTCAGTTTTAATTCCTGTAATCCTGGCTGCTAGGAGGAGACCAGTTTAAAGTTCTGCAGTTTTCCTGGTACCATGCCTTGTCTATGTTCCTTTCTACTACTGGATTCTGCCTGTCTGCATCTGTACGTGTCCGTCTGGGCGCGCTTCTGGACTCGTCTGACTCCGAATCTGCCGGAACGCTCTGAGGATGTTTGCTCTGTTCCTGTTTGGGTCGGAACCTCGGATCGAGCGGAGGTTTTCTGAATTCCTGAACTGTTCCAGCCTGCTCTGTCTTCCCCGGACCTGGATCAGCTTCCTGTAAGTTCTCAGGTGCTGCAGCATCAGGGACGCTCCGGGTGATGCACGCCGTGTCTGGCTGTCAGCCCATCGGCTGGATCGCACCTTTCTAAGGAGATGGACTAAACTGTGAAACCAGGTAATTGACTCACTGAGATTGTATCTCCTGTCAGATGATCGTGGTCACTTACCTGTGTTTCTTCCCCAGAGAGTCAGTGATTAGGCGGGGACCCCCCCCCCCTCCTGCAGTCGCACTTCCACAGTTCTTTCTGTTCGTTTCTGTTTGTTTTAATAAACGTTTTGAACTTTCCTACTGACTGTCTCACCTTGAATACTGGGTCAATCTGTCCCGCAGGTTCCTTTGTCATTTTTCACCCTGCCTCATTCTTAAGCTCCTGATTTTTCCATCATTAGTTGCACCTTCTTGTGTTACACTGTCAGATTATCTGTCTGATCTCCATGCCCTGTTTATCCCATTTAAGACTTGCTGGATTTCTGTTTTGCTGTTAGAAATCCTTCATTGTTCTCATCTCTAGTTCATGTCTGCATCTTGGTCAGAACTCAGAACCATTTCAGAAGCTAAAGATTAGCGGAGCTACCTCGTAGAAAAACCAGAGACGACCTGAAACCGGTGTGGAGGTTCACCTTCCAGCAGAGCCATCATACAGCAAGAGGTCCAATAGGGAGGCTAATTAAGTGTTAGAATGGCCTAGTCAAAGTTCAGACCTTAATCTGGACCCTAAATAGAAGTTTTAAAAGTTTCAGTCTGTAATTTTACAAAGGGAACAGGGGCACATTTACCATTAGGCAATACTAGACAGCGAACTCTGCTCTCCAGAGCGAGTAGATTGGTAAAGGCCGGCATGCACTGTATGATTTTTGATTTTTTTTTTTCCCTCTTCGGACCAATTCTCCAGTTGTGTGAGAATTTTTCAATCGGGCCAACTTTCAGCCTGATGGTGCATGGTGTAGCTGTATAGGGGTAACGAGGGGCAATCAGCCACTAACGAAAACCCCCCCATCAGGAATCGTAAAGTCGGGAGAAAACCAAACATATTTGAAATTCAGTCGGCGGTTGTAAGGTGGTCGTGGGCAAACAAGGATTCTTCTTCTTCTTCCTCTCAGAGGAAAACCCAGATTCTAAATGTTAAATGGAGTTCTTTCTGTCAAACTGACAGACCGTAGCAGCCATGTTTGCTCAGCCATGTCTTTGTCCAAATACGTCTTTATTCTCATAATTTTACCACTTTATTCTAATAATGTTACGCATTTATTCTCGTAGTGTTTTATGTGTTGTCTTCTCCATTCAGAGGGCCCCCTGTCTGTCGTTGCCTAGGGCCCCACATTTCCTAAATCCGCCCCTGAGATCAAAGCATAATTAAGTGTTAGAATGGCCTAGTCAAAGTTTGGACCTTTAAGGTTTCAGTCTGTAGATGTGCATAAAGTAAGCATCATTTTTCTCTCTCTCCACTGAGAGGGAGTGCTGCACCGCTTCTAACAACCTCTGCTGTCACTCCAGGTCGCCTACCCTGCACAATTATTTTAATGCTCCCGCCTCCTCCTCCTCCTCTTCCTCATTTCCGTGATCTGTTGGAGTGGAGTTGCGCGTGGAGAGCAGATCAAACGGAGGAGTATTTCCACAGAGGGGGGGTTGATCCGGAACCTTCTGATCAATAACCGATCAGCAGCAGTTAGGGGCCCATCAGGGCGGGTCAGGAGGTCAGAGGCATGAGCCGGACCGGATATTTACCAGCTGCAGCGTGCACAACCGGCTCATGATGATGATGATGATGATGATAAATCTGTCTGATCCATTTCATGCGCTCCGACAGCCCCACGCTGCTCGAAGATGACGCGGGGACTGGATGCACGGCACGCGGGCTGGATCCAGACTAACCTGGGATAAAAAGTTCAACAGACCCGACAGTTCTTAAAGTTTGGGTCCCAAGAGACGGCAGAGAGTCCGGGATTCAGAGAGCGGAGCGCCGGGGAGAGGAGGCGCACCGAGCCGCGCAAAGAGCTTCAGAGGAGAGGTAACTGATCAGGACGCAGAGAAAACATCAAGTCTGTAGATTCTGCAAGGTTGGAAACGTTTTGCTACAGAAGTTAGAGAGGAACTTCAGACAGAGGGAGGATTAGGGCCACTGGAAACATAAAATAAACTGATTTATGAATATTATTTCACTTTCTTATGGGGAAAAAAGTTGGAATTCTGATTTTAATTTCAGAATTCTGACTTTTAAACTCAGAAATCTGACTTTTAAAAAAAAAAAGAATTCTGACTTTAATCTCTGAATTCTGACATTTAATCTAAAAAAATCTAATTTTTTTTCAAAGAATTCTGACTTTTAATCTCAGAATTCTGACTTTTAATCTCAGAAATCTAACTTTTTTTAAAAAAGAATTCTGACTTTAATCTAAAAAATCTAATTTTTTTCAAAGAATTCTGACTTTTAATCTCAGAAATCTAACTTTTTTTTTTTAAAGAATTCTGACTTTAATCTCAGAATTCTGACTTTTAATCTCTGAATTCTGACTTTTAATCTAAGAAATCTGACCTTAATCTCAGAATTCTGACTTTTAATCTCAGAAATCTGACCTTAATCTCAGAATTCTGACTTTTAATCTCAAAAATCTAACTTTTTTTCTCAGAATTCAGACTTTAAATTCAGAATTCTGACTTTTTTCTCAGAATTCAGACTTTAAACCCAAAATTCCGACTTTTTCCTCAAAATTCTGACTGAATTCTGTCAGCTAACAAACATGTTAGCATCCAGCCGTAGCCATGTCTGTTTTAGAGACTAGCTCTCTTGTTTTAATCACCTTCTGCTCTTCCATTAATGAAAGAGCATCAGCAGTGACCCTCAGGGACGGAAAAGTTGCCTAATTGGGTCATTTTCCACCAATGTGTTCCTGTTTCTCCCAAACAAATGAAGCTGAGGGCTCCACAACTGCCTTCATGGGGCCCATTAAGATCCACAATTCTCGGATTAAAGTCAGAATTCTGAGAATTATTTCCCATATTAAACTGAAATAAAATAAAAAAAACAGTTAACTTTTATTTGTTCAGTAGCTCTAATCCTTTTCCCTGATTCCATGTTTTCCTGAGCAGCCAGATGTCAGACATAACTTTTAAAAAAGGAGTTTTCTCTTGGGTCCCTGCAGGTCCTCAGTGATGCTGCTGCCGCGGCCCTCTGTCCTGTCCGCGCTCCTCCTCCTCTTCATCCTCCTGCATACCCCGGGAAGCTGCCAAGCTGCATCCCGGCACAGAGGCCCCGGGCCCCGGGCGGAGGGGCGCAGGAACCGCCACAGTTTGGCGCAGCTGATCGGTCGGTCCCAGAGGGGCCCGGTGGGGCCGAGCGGGCGCGAACCAACCAGTCCGAAAAGACCGAACCGGTCCAACCACGGTGAGGGCCGACACCATGACCCCCCCTGAGTATTACTGGGTGTTTGGTTTCCCCCATCAGAGATCCGCTAATGAATGAGTGCTGCTATAAACCGACTCTAATCTAAATTCATTCAGCTGTTTCCCCAGAAGGCTTCTCAGATTTAACAACCTTTTTAGAGCCTTGACCTTTAAAGCTGCAAACAGTCTTTGGTTTCATCTTCTAATATTAGTTGATTAAAACTTTAAAAATGATGCGTTAAAAAGCCAGTTTGGAACTTTATATCAGTCCTAAACAGAAAATAATCTCTTCATCATGGATAAGGAGTTATATGTATGTTTTAAAATGATT